GAACTGAACTTGAACTGAACCAAAACTTTGAGTTCAGGTTCAGTTCAAGTTCATAAATTTAAAGTTCAGTTCAGGTTTAGGTTTAAAGATCTGCAAAATTTAAAGTTCAGTTTAGATTCAATTGAACTTGAACCTGAACCTAAATTGAACTGAACTGAACTTCAGAACACTAGTAGTTCTCTTTTTTTTTTGTAAATAGCTCTATGTATAGATTTTTACAACCATATAGATAGTTTTTACCTGGTTAGCAGATTTTATATTTGAAGATAGATTCTTATAGATTTTAGGATGATTTTTAGACTCCTATATAATTTGGTCGTTTTCTTTATATGTTTGTTTATACTTACTTCTTTTTCATTCTCCCTATACTCCTTTTTTTTTTTTTTACTTTTCTACGAGAAAGTGTTATCAGATTGGTGATACTCTATTGTAGAGCAGTAATTCTGACAAGATCGATGAAAACCATTTGTTGATATCTGGAGCTCATATTTTCAAAAAGTTAAAGATCTCAGAAGGAGAAAAATTGTTCACTTAGGCAGATTGCTTCTGGGTTATACTCTAGTAGAGTTGGCAAAGTCTTTAGGTTCAGGACTTTAGGACTTGGTCTTTGGATCTAATTTTTAAAGACCAGGTCCTGATTTTAGGATCTAAGTCCATAGGTCCTTAAAAAAGTCCTAATATAAAAAAAAATAATACGTAGTATATATGTACGTACAATACATGTATATATCATGTATATACGTATATATACTAATTTATACATGCACATGTTAAATTTCTTGATTTAGGCTATCGAACAATTAACTGAAATCAACTTGGATCGGCTTATAAAATCTTGGCTAAAGATGAGGATTGATCAAAAATAATTGATAGAATCATTTTAATCCCTCTACATATTATAATAATTTGCAAGTAAGTTCAAATATAAGATAATGCATTTAAATATCATAGTTTGAATAATACATATGCATATATAAAGTATATATATGCATGTAAATAAGGCATGCAGAAAATCAAAAAAAACCTAATATAAAATAATGCATCAAGAAATAAGCAGTATATAAATTATTAAAAACTAGCCAAATTAATTGACAGTTTATTTATGAAAAATAACTTCGTATGAATAGCCATTATTAATATAATAATTTTGGTTTATCTTTTTAATGAAGTTTTTAAATTTCTTGGATTATACCTGATATTAAATAAGACTAAAGAAAATAAAATTAGCCATCAGGTATGCTTTTAACATACTCATAAATATTTTTGTCTTTTGATCTCCATTTTTTGAAAAAAAGAATCTAACAAATTCTATTCTTTTTACCATATAGACATGAAATAATACTTAGCAGGCGTTATTTTGAAATTCGAATCTTCCTAAAATAACATATGTGATCTCAAATTAACGCCCATACATGCTCTTGAATTAATGCACACCCAATATAATCTTAATTGATCAGTGTGATAATACACTAGCACCATTAACACCCAAACCATCAAAAAAATTTTTTTAGTTCTCATTTTGAAATAACGCACATAGACGTACTCGAAATAATGCGCAGGTAAGCATTATTTCACATCTATACAGTACTTGATTCTGATAATAGCTAGTAATTGCACTCATGTGCTTCATATTTTTTTTTGATCTAAAAATAATTGATATCTTCTAGCTCCAATTCTGCTCACTAACAATAGCCAATGCCAATTCTATTCTATTCAAATAATAAAAGAATATGAAAGAGTTATTATATTGTAATATGAAAAGAAAGAATAGAATCATTTTTTACCTGATTTATTGTCTCGCAAATTTTGAATAAATAATAAAATTATAAATAACTATCATATTCTAAAAAAAATATATATATAAATTGATAAGTTTATATAATTTTGTGAATCTCGAAACATTTATCATGGATATTGAAGATACTGAATCTAACAACCATTCTAATGACTATTCTAACGATTATTCTAATGACTATTCTAATGACTATTCTAACGACTATTCTAATAATGAATTATCTTCAATATCTGAAATAAATTCTCCTATTCTAACTATATCAAATAAATCTTCAAAATGACCCTCACCTTTATGACTCCATTTTGAATTTGATCCAAATAAACCAAATATTCTAATTTATAAAAAGTGTAATCAAAAATTTTCGAAGAAATCTGAAAATTCAAGTTTAGAAAAGCATTTAAAAAGTCAACATAAAATTAAAATTCCTAAATTCAAAAGTTATCAAACCTAGATATCATTTGCACGTGTTGATCTCTGGCCTAAAAAACAACAAAAAGAATGCAATAATGTCTTAATCAAGTAGGTTATATCAGATCAGCAATCATTTAGCATTGTAAAAATAAAAAATTTATTAAAATATTAAAAGTATTTAATTTGTGTTACCAAATTCCTAATTGATATAAAATTAAAGATATGGTCCTTAATTATTTTAATATACAAAGAACCCAAATAATCAATAAATTAAATAGTATTGTGGACATCAACAATAAATCACGAAGCTTTTCTTGGTATAACCATTCATTATATAGATCAAAAATAGTCTTTTCATCGATTTTTGCTAGATATTATTCTTTTAACTATGCATCACACTGGAGTAAATATTGCAACAACTATAAATAATCTTTTAGCAGAATTTAAACTTTTAAATAAAGTATTAGCACTCACCATTGACAACGAATCTGTGATGGTAGTTTGTGGATGACTATTAGCAAAGGACTTACAAGAAGAATTAAATAATCAAACCTTTTGCTATTATAAATATAGTGCATATGTCTTGAATTTAGCGGCACGTCATAGATTAGAAATAATTGACCAAGAAATTATTAATACTCATGCATTAATGTCAAAAAAAAAATATCAATAAGATTATGTGATAAGCTAAAAGAATTGTGTGCTATACAAAAATTAGAATACCTAAAACCTGAATTAGATATTGAGACGAGGTGAAACAGCACTTATTATATGCTATGAAAAATACTCAGAATATGAGTTGCTCTACAAATGCTAGCAGTTAATCATAATGATATTCAATATTTAATGCCTTCAACAGAAATATAGAATAAAATTAAGGTAAAAATTTGGGGAATTTACAAATAAAGGCCAGAAATTAAAAATAATTACAAATATGAGCCCAAATTAAAAATAATTACATATAAGGGTCTAACTTTTAAAAAAATTACATATAAAAGCCAAATCTATTGATAGCTAAAAAAACATGATCACTTGATTATTGTGTAACAAATAACTATGACCATTTCGATTGCAAAATCACAATTATAAGATTATTAATTGTTTTATTATAAGTATCTATATACTGATTATAGATAAAAGAATAAATGAAGCTTTGGTTATAATCATTTTTAATTAAATATTGTGCATCAAATTAGTATAAAGCGAAGAAGTTTCAATAGTGTAGCTCTAGAGCTGAACGAATATCTTCTATATTAGTAAATATCATGCCAATTCGCAGTGCTTTACTGTGCATCATAGTGGTTTGTTATAACAATAAGTAACTTTATACAAAGAAAATGAAATTTATTAAATTTAAAATTTTTCTTATTTATAATTACTAATTTACAATTGCCCATTATATTTTTTATGTGCTTAATAATTACATTTATCGATGCTTATATTTCTTATACTAATAGTGATCAAGCCACAGGCTTGAATAACTTCGCAATTATTTTGGGCCTTTATATGTAATATTTTTTTAAAATTAGGCCCTTAAATATAATTATTTTTAGTTTGGGCCCGTATTTGTAATTATTTTCACTTTCTGGACCCTTATTTGTAAATTTCTCTAAAAATTAGTATTCATGTTGTATCCCAAATGATAATCCTGTCCTGATTGCCAATTGGGACAGCCCAAATTAAAATTGCCCAAATCTAACCTTAACGTCTGGGCTAATTAATTTATAATTTTGGCTAGATTGTCATCTGGGAAAATTGTCATTTGGGGCACGATATTCACATTTAATATTACTAAATTTTTTAAAAAAATTTATTAAAAATAAAAAGTACTTATATTAATAGAGCCATTGGAAAAAGCTACCATATTATTATCCATATCCTCATATCCAACAATTGCTGATATCCATTTTTGTTTACTAGAATTCAAGAATACCTTCAAGGATATATTAATGATAATACTTTTAGTCAGTATATGATAGTCGCATCAATTAATGAAAAGATTGAGGAATATAGAGATATAATTGATAATGCAACCATTACTGCTACTATTCTTGATCTGCGAACAAAATTATCATTATTTGAAATGGACAACCAACTACAAATGCAGTCAATAAAATTAGAGAAGTATTTGATCAGTATTTTGTTGAATCTAAATCAATTTCTAATACTTAATTGAATGTAGATGAAGTTAGTACTACACATGATTACTTTAATAGGCTTAAATAATGTTATTTTGAACACAACTATAAAAGCAATTAAAACCAAGTTACTGATGAATTGGAACGATACTTAGCTTTGCTCTATGATAAAAATATTTCACCTTTGTTGTGGTGGTAAGCATACCAAAAAGAGTTTTTACTTTAGCCTCTATGACAAAAGATTATCTATCTATTCAAGTGACTAGCGTAGCCTGTGAACAGGCTTTCTCAATAGCGGCAAATACTATATTAAAAACCCAAAATCGTCTTTATCTAGAAACATCAAGAGCATCTCTGTATGCTAAAAGTTGGATTGATAATGAAATAAAAAAATTAATAAGTAGTTGATTAAAGTTTTTTCTTTTAAATTTCAAACTATTTTACTATCTTCAAACAAGTCACTTCTGATTAACCAAAATTTACAATAAAAAGCTAAATTCTGATGCTTAGTAATCTGCAAAGATGGTATTAACAAAAATAACAAATAAGAACAATATATATATTATATTATTATTGTTATAAATTATATAAAATTTTTTGATATATAAAAGTTATGTATAAATAAAAATAGAATTTATATCGATATCAATATAAGACTTTAATAATGTTAAAAATAACCGATATTTATTAATTATCTGATATGTCTTAATTACTTTATATATAATATATAACAGACCTAAGTCTTTGGACTAAGTTCTGGGTTCTGGGACTAGGTCTTGGACTGGACTTAGATTAACTCAAGTTCTAGGACTGGTTTATAAAGATCTGGTCTGTAAGTCCATATAGTAAGGCTTACAGGTTATAGGACCAGGACCGGACCAAGACCGAACTTTACTATCCTTATACTCTAGTATAAAATTTTGGTTTTGCTAATTTTCTACTATGATAATGAGACAGATTGAGAGAATTTTTATTTGAATAGGCATATAGTAATTAATAGTTAAATAGTAGGTTTAACCAACCGAATTTGTATTGTATTTACTGTTAATTTATTAAATAAAAGTAGAATCACTAAAGTAAAAAAAAAAAAAAATATATATATATTATTAGTTAAAGAAAATGGCATACCATATGATAAATTATAATAAAAATTTTTTTTTTTGGTATTAAGGTGAGGTCTTGCCTCATATCTTTATTAGATATTTGTCAAGTATTTGCCTTATATGGTTATATATTTATCTTAAAAATACAGATTTAGACAATTTTATCTATAATCTAAACCTACTAGAGTATGCTACATTCCCACTACATATTGGGTTATACTTGGATTTAGTGTTCAGACTATTTCTAGTTATCTAACACATTCGCTCTATGTCTTATTATCAAATCTTGATTATTCTCAAATTGGTTCTTTCAAAGAATCAGTTCTTTTTTGGTCTTTCAATTTGGTATACTTGTTATTGGAATTAGAGGTCTTATTTGGTCAAAAAATTTGTATTTGAATATTCATTTGTTCAATACTTTTAATATTTGAAAAATTTTGAATGAATATTCAAATATTCATTAAATATTTACTGAATATTGTATATAGTATAAACTAATTTTATACTTTATTAATACTATAATTAAATAGCTAGCTAATAGTTAAAATATAAAATTAGAAAAGTTTAAAGCAATTTTAAATATTTAAATAAATATAAAAATATAATTTATTAGAATTTAATTTAATAGGATGTGGCAACTTAGTGAAGTGGTTAAGTTGTCGCACCTCTAAGCAACTTGTTGGCTAGGTAGAGGGTTCAAAACCCACTAGTGATGAATTTTGAAATATTCTACCTGTATGACGTTACTGCTATTCAATTAATGGTTAGAACAAGATCTCTGTACCTCTGATAGCACCAACAGGATTGGGAGATCATGGGGTATTTGTGTGATATATGAGTTACATGAATAAGCTTCTGAATCATTATAAATCCAGAGAACTGGGAAGGACAATGAAACACACTTGGCAAGACCTGAGTAGAGAGATAGCACAGATCTTCGACGGTACTATGTAAAGGATTATTACTGAGAGAACTAGTGAAACTGAATGAGATCGAAGTGTTTGACAAAGCACTTCACCAACCAGGCTACCAGAAGAGTAATCAGAGGAAAAAGACTCAACTATGGGGACCAGGAGCAGGTCACAGCTCTTCCGAGCTATCTGGATTGGTAGTTTGAGATTGTTGAGATTAAAATCGGTAATAGTCTGTAAAGTATGTACTGGGGTTTGGGTGAATTCTACAAGGACAGAAGTAGATAATGGTAGTGGTCTCAGCTTGCAAGTACTTGTCCTCAAACTTAGACATAAGTTACCGAAGTCTAGGTTAGCCAGATTGTGAATATAGAAAGCTCTAGCAAGTTTATCTTAAGAGTAAATTAGCTCTAGATCGGGTATTTTCTATGCCAGATATTGGTTCCTCATAAGGATATGGCGGTGCAGAGAGTTTAAATAGATAATCCCCTAGTTGGATTATAGGTATAGCATCTAGTATAGAACCTTTGGGTAGACTACTTAAATAGACAATCAAAAGTTGTACGTGTGGCTAGTTGTATTCTCTAAAACCATATACCAAATAAGTAGCGACTAACTTTGATCGGCTTAGCACAAAAACTAATAAAAGCAACTGACCATGAGGTTACTTTGATATTAAAAAAAAAAAAAAAAAAAAAAAAAAGAATTTAATTTAAT